AAATCGACTTCCAAAACTGATACCATAATTCTCTTATAATCTGCGTAAATTTTGAAGGAATGTATTGAACTTACGATTTAAGAACATTTGAGAAAAATCAATTTTTTAAAAAATTATTTTGGAAGATTTTAAAAGATTATTAACTCTATGCCTACCCAATCACCACGACTATATACATAATTGTTTAAAACTTCTAGAACATCTTATCAAATGATAAACTAACGGTTTTAATTGAGTCTAATTTGAACATTTTGTTATGTGTCTTTCTTAGATATGTGACACTCGGCATGCGCTTTTTATTTTACTGAAATGGCATGAATACTTGCACAAAGGAGATACTATTGATTCTATACAAGGCCGGTACGATGGAAGGGAAGGGGGTCATTTAGTCGTTAAATTAACTTATTAAGCCGTAAACTTACCTAAAAAATGAGTTTCCAACTCCTTTAATTCTATGGATTCCTCCTAAAGAGTTAAGGTGAGTTTCCACTCATCCGTTTTTCTACGGGAAAGGGAAAGGGAACGGAAAAATAATCACGTGAGCATGCGTAATAAAAGTTTTTATTTGTCCGTAAGGAAACTGCGCATGCTCACGTGATTATTTTTCCTGTAGAAAAACGGATGAGTGGAAAATCACCTTTAGGTTAGGCGACATTGTGTTTCCTAACGATTATAAACTTTTCTGCGATTAATTTTATCATATCAAAAGTTGGACATTTTGCTATTCTTTCATTTGAAACATTTACACTGCTTTTATATTAATTACTATCGTATTTGTGCTTGATTCGACGTCTTTGTTAATTAGTTCAGTTTTAACATTATCCTCATTTGAAAGTTTTACCAATATATATGCCATTGCATTAATAAATTACAAAAGTTTCAATATTTTTTTAAACCGCAGTCATTAAAACGTTTTAAAATATTCACAAAATACGACATTGTTTGGTTGTAAAAATATATTTTGCCGCAAAATATTTTATGGGAGTATAAATCTCATAATGAGAGTAAAGTTTTCATATGAGATTTTTACTGGAGAATACAAATTTCATATGCGATTTTTAGTGGGGAGTAAAAATTTAATGAACTTTTTACTGGGGAGTAAAAGATACGCGGGAGTAAAAAACTCGAACTCCGCCGGTCCTGGTTCTATGCTTATGCTTTGAAGGCTTACAACTTAGTTCGCCATGCTTTATTGATAATAAGAAGGATACAAGCACATATTATGCTGACGATAAGACTCTCTATGTTTGCAATAATTTTTTGGAGAAAAATATTTTTTGATTGTAAAACAAAACACTAAACGCCTTTTAATGTAAACGTCATTAAATAGTTTAAGTTTAATTATATGAGTTTAATTATATGAAATCCCAAAATACTTTAACTACTCATAAAAGTTAAAATCATTATCAATTAAAAAGATCAAAACAGTAAAATCTACCAATTTTTAATGGTTGGTAAAAACAAAGTTTTGCTTCGAATAAAGTTAGGCTGCTAAAGTGACCATTTGCAAGGATTTAAAGTTTGGTTATTACATTAAAGCTTTATGCGAAAAAGTTAATACTTTGCCTTTTCTCAAATAAGAAAATCTTTTAAACAAGCTATTTTATTTGGTGCAATAGCGACAGATGCAGTTTGTTGCATATAACGAATTTTTTCTTAGAGTGTTTATATATATATATATATATATATATATATATATATATATATATATATATATATATATATATATATATATATATATATGTCAATTTTTTACTTAACGTTGTGAATTTATCTATAATAATAATTATTGCCTATAATTACAACTATTGCCTAAGGTCTAAAATCAAGATCAATTTGTACATAAGGTCTAAAATCAAGATCAATTTGTACAAATATTAAGTATATAGGCAATAGTTTTGCCATTTAACTCTTGAAGTTGTAATAAAACAAATAAATCAGAAAATGGACGATCATGTTTTGCAATATAACAACTGTCCCTTTATTAAAATGGTCAATTACTTTTTCATTCGCTTTTTCTTTCTGCCCTTGTAAAACAATTTTATGCAGTGATATGTGCTGTGCTCTTAAAATAATCAAACTTTTTTTTTTTGAATCTTAAGTAACAGACGTTGAAATCCACAATTTAGAAAGGTTGACTCCTTGAGTTTTGAATCGCTAATGTACATAAATGATACCCTAATTTTTTAGAATGTGATATAAGCCAGGCGTAAGTTTTCTTTTTCTCAGCTCACATACCAGACGTTTAAATGCTATGAAAACATATCTTTAAATTGTCAACACTGTCAGTACTGAGCGTTTGTGGCATACTGATATCTCTCTGGCTATTATCATTTTCTATTGGTTTTGTATTGACAGATTTTGTATTGTTATTTTCACATTTTGGTTATTTATAGAAATAATCAGTAGTCGTAGATATTTTTTGTTTTCTTCCATTTTAATTCTTTACTTTAAAATTTTACTCAAGGATTTAAACGGAGAGTGATGGTAAACCTATTTA